ACCCATTGAAATGGGCGCAATTAAAGAAACGAATTCAGAACAGAAAGTGTACCCTTTTCAGTGATAAATTCGACTCTCAAATATCTTCCTCCTCTCTTTTTCAGTTTCTTCACTCATCCTTTCTTCTTCCTCTTCCTACGCCGCTACTCTGGTTTTCTGCATTTCCCTCGCCTTTTTCTTATATTTCAAGCTTTCCCTTTTCCTCTTTCACTTGGATTTCTCACTTCCCCTTTCTGATTCTAGATTTTCCAAATTCAGAAGATTTCCCTTTCCCTTTCCCTTTCCGTTTGCCGCGAATTCAAATGCACCATCTCTCTTACTCTCCTTTTCCTTTTCTTTTAATTTTAGTTTGGGCTGGATAGGCTTTTTAAAATTGGGCCCGTCCTGATAAAGACGCGTTGAGGTTCTCTGTTGGGCCTTTTAAGCCCAATTTTGCTTTTCAAAAGTCAAAACCCTTTTAAGCCCTTATAATTTTATTTTAAATTTTTTTTTCCGTTATTCTTGTTCTCTTTCAGGTTATAACCTCCATTTTTGTTATTTTACTCTTGGTTCCCTTTACTTTCTTTAACAATGTATACTTGTTGATAATAAAATTATTTATATTTTTAATTATTAGTTTAAAGTTTAATTTTTAATTTTTAATTTTTAAGTATTAAAAAATTAATGTATACCTGTTATTAAATATTTTTTAAAGAGAAAGTAAATTCGATATCTATAACTTACTGCTAATACAATCAGATCTTCATGCCTAATCTATCAATATAACTGCTTCGTTTAAAAATGTAAAATGTTAAACCACTAAAGACATTGAACACCTGCCCGAAAAAAGTGATTTATGAAGATGAAGAACGACTTAAAATTGCACAGAGATTGCAAATATTCCAATTCTTGTGATTATTATTGCCCCTGCAGCCAGAGCATTGAGCTCTTGATAATGGCTCTTTCAGGTGTCCTATAATTCCTAATGAAAAATATCGAAATATTTTGTCCTGGTTATTTTATTTTCAAGTTGTTATGATAAGAGATGGTGAAAGAACGAACACAGAATTTACATGGTTCATGTGACCTATATCCACATGAAGAGCCAAGTGAAAATTTTACCTTGTGAAGAAACATCTCTCAACCCTAGCCAATACACCCAATTTTACTCTCTCAACCCTATCTTCGATAGAAGCTCTCCAATGCACCCAATCTCACAACACTCTGTCGTACTCAAAAGCAAATGTAACCATGATTGCAATCAAAATTCAGAACAGTATTAGCAAGTCTTAATTTGGCTCTCCACATTTCATGTCTGTTGGTTAACAACCAATCTGATAGAATATGGAACTTGTCCACCTTATAGATTTAACTGCATCTTCCACTAGTTGGTGTCTTCTTTTTTTTTCATTTTTTTTTCATAAAGAAATGGAGAGAAAATTTGGAAGAAGATGAAGAGCAGAACCACTGCAACTCAGATTAATTCAAACTTTTGTACATACCAAAAAGTTGCAGTAGAAGAAGTTGACTTACTTGTCCTTAAATTGCGCTACCTTGTCTCCTGTATTTGTCCAGAGTGCATACGTCACAGTAAACTACAAAAGTTCACATTACAGCAATTCAAACTAAGACTGAAAAACTAACATAACATTACTTAAATTATATTCAAAAACTAACTAAACTAGGTGACACCGCTTAATTCCCTTAGCTTGACACTTTGCTACAACTTCATGCTATTTGCTTGACAAGTGTAGCTTTGCTGTCATGGCTACAATCAACACCACTTGTATTCATTGATATTGACCAGATTTCTCCACTTGCCAGGCACTGGGTTGCTGGCACAAATGAAACTGCTGGTGTTGGCTGAATTGTTGGAAACGCTAGGTCAAATCTCTTTATTGCCTTTCCAGTACAAAAACAATTGATCTCCATGGTTAGCTTTTACTTGTCATATGGTTGACTCTTACTGTAGCCAATTGCTTATATTCTTCAGTAGAAGTGATTTACCTACTCAAAATATAAGAGACTGATCTCGTCCTCCCAGCTCACTGAAATTGAACACCTACAAGAGCAAACCTTATGATCCAATAATTTTTCAAGGAAGAATCTTAATCAATTTTACCATAATACCATGCTCACAGTGTTAATTAACAAGAGATTTTTTTATAAAAAGTAGAAAGACCATTCTCAAATCAAAGTATAACATTACCCAAAAAGAGAGAGAGAGAGAGAGAGAGAGAGAGAACAAAAGCTTGAAAAATTTTAAATCAAGAATGCATTAGATCATATATAGAGATGCAATCAAATTTCGAAAGAAGTATTTACAAGGAAAACATAAGTTAACTGAATTTACATATGGATCTTCTGAAAATCACAAGGTCTCTGTGGTTGCTGAGATGAATGTGGTGCTTGATTGGCTCTATGGCTTTCCAGCAAGGTGTCACCAACATCACTTCTGCTCCTAGATTGAAAGAAGGGTTTTAGAGACTGATTGCTTGCAGGTTAATTTGAAGAACCAGAGGCCTGCAAAATGATGCAGCCTTTATACACAACATACATTATCTACACATCAGATAAGTAAATGTTAAACATGATGAGATAATTGACATTTAACAGACCTGAATGCATTCACAAGTCTAACTTCAAAATAAGCATTGAAGTCTGTGGTCTGGGTTGGGGTACCAAGCCATGAAGCCTGCCTTCAATTTTTGAAACTTGTTTGGCTTTCTGTTTCGTTAGTTTTTGCAACAAAAGAGGCATCCCATTGTCGTGGTTGTGTTGGTAGTAATAGCCGATTATCATCATCCTAGTGCAGGTGGATAAAGACAAATATTCAAAATTCAGACTTGTCAAGTGTAGGTGTAGCAAATCAGGAAATTTGAATTTGGAATGGTAGTACAGCTTCTGAATGGAGAAATTATTAATATAACATTTTACAAAAAGATGAATTGATAAAAATAAAGAAACTTGCTTTGAAAAATGAAATTATTAACATTTGCTTTTGAATTGTAGGTAAAATGGTAGCAGATAAATTTGGTTTTAGTTGGAACATACCATACATGAATTGGAAAAAAAGGATTTAGGACTAGTATCTAAAAGAATGATAAAAGCCAAATGCATAAATGAAATCCATAAGAGAAAGAGGGAATTAAAAAGAAATGATATATTGTATATTGTTAAAGGCAGAAGATACCTGAACGGGAGCTTGTTTGAGTTGGATCCATAGCCTGTCTATGTTGATATTTGGAATGTGAGAAATGTAGTGCCACTCGGAACCACTTCCTCTAGTGCATCTTTCCTCTAACTTAGGGCAATCCAAAATTTCAAGGGAATTTAATTTGGAGAGGCATTGGATGGCTTCCATATGTCTAAGAGATTTGCACCTGGAAATGGACAGAGTTTGGAGGGAGGATAAGTTTTCAAACCAATTTGGCAAAGCTTCCATTCCATCAAAATCTTCTATAAACAATCGGCTAAGAGCAATTGGGCGTTGAATTTGACGTGGCAGACGCTTTAACCTTTCCCATCCGACCAAAGTCAATTGATGAAGGGAGGGGTGGACATGTTGAATGAAACCGAGATTTGGAAACTCCTCTAGCTCTTTTGAGAAACCACCAATACACAGTTGCTTCAAGCTGGTAAGGCAGCCAAGACACTCCTCTGGGATTTCTAGCAATCCTCCACATCTTGAAATTTCTAATTCAACAAGAGAATGCAGTTCCTTCAAATCCTCTGGAATAGAGATCAGACTATGACACTCCGTTATAGTCAACTTTTCAAGAGAGGTGCAAGTGAACAACCCACTTGGCAAACTTGTCAATCCAATGCAACGTTTTATAGATAAAGTCTCCAGAGAGAAAAGTGCAAACAGACTTGGAATGGACATCAGACTAGGACAGTCCTCTATGGTCAAC